AAGTATTACTTTGAATTCATCCAGTTTAGGTACAAGACTTATATTTAAATGACAGATTTTAAAGCCTCTAATTTCACCTAGATGATTTAGCGTCCCTGTATTTTATTTTAGACAGGAAAATTGCTTTTGCTTTCTTACCGATGTAGTGTTCAGACTTGACATAACAGGAGGTTGTCTAACCTTTTCAGGATATAATATAGATCCCTGTGTAGACTGTAATTGAGTTGGATTTATATAAATACACCTGTGCACAAACCCAGGTCAAGATAATTATTAAAAACATATGTATAAAATTCCATAAAATATAAAAAAGTGGCCATAAAAACATTTTTATCTGGACCTGGATTAAGTTCAATATTTCCAATGACTAAAAGAATATTAAACAGAAGTCTTAAATGTTGTTTCCGACTGGTTAAAACAGAGTCTGTTATATCTGTGCCTTTAGCACTTACTGTATGTCTTTTGTCCACTGATGAAAAACAGTAACAWAGGCCGAAATTACTACCCGATCAGGTGAGGTTCTGAAGCCAGTCAGTAGAGTAATGAGATTTTAAATTGTGTTTGTTAAATTGTGATTTTTAGAAATCAGATGTGATGTAAATGAAGGTGATCAAACACCGACTGTCACTCCACCTCCGTAGATTCTAACTTTTTCTTGTTAAATATAATGAATTATTACACTTAAAATCTAAGATAAGGAGGTGTTTGATCTTATTGGTGTTTTATTCAGGTCTTCAGCTGTGATTTTTATGTTTTGTAATTTTTTAAAGACTTTACTGTAATGAAAGTTTAACGTAACTTGCAGCCTTTGCATTTCAACGAACCACCTCATTTGCAGGACTTTGTTTTTTTTTTTTTTTACCTGTATAGGCAAGTGAAGTTATTTGCTGTGCATGTCATAACAGATTAGTGGTTGATAACCACTTTGTGCTGTTTACAGTTGGACTTTGTGATCTTTGCACCAAACCGAGAGTTTTAACTTCTACAGCGTCAAATAAATGTTCTGTTAGCTGAACGTTAAAGTGTTAGTCAGGTTCCTGCATAAACAATAATTTGTTTTGTGTTTTTGTTTTCCACACTGACAATCACATCATTCAATAAAGGCAGTGCCATTTGTTTCCATGAGACTAAAACTTTAAACTGACATGTTTCATTTGAGATGCAGTTTAATGCTACAGAAATAAAAAATAATAATCTATTATGTGACTTTAATGTGTTTTTCTTATTGTTACAAATTTTAAGGCGTAACTCAAAACCTGAGGCTCATCTAAAGGGTCGTAATTTACAGTAGATACACTAAATTTTTAAAATACACTTGAACTACTAAGTCATATTTGAGATACCAAGTCATTGTTATGAGATACTAAGTTATAAGTATTTAGTCATGGTTATGAAATACTAAGTCATAACTGTATCAGGTTTAAAAACTGGACAAAAAATGAGTAAAAAGCAGCCAAAGTCCAAATATATAGATCTTTATTTGACATTTYTGCATATACTAGCAGTTTACACACATTGGAGTTCTTGTGCGGGCCTCTCCTAGTCAGTATGATAGAAAAAACATTAACAAGGTCTAAGAAAACAGTGTAAGAAKAAAAARAAAATAGTTTAGGCCTACAGAAAGTCTGCAGAACATTAATGAGATAAAAGAAAGTTAACACTTTTACATTTTAATCAATGTTTGCGCTTCCTTGTTTTTGTTTTTCTAATCTTTTMCCTTGGTGTCTCGTGATTTCATAACTAAGGCACGTGATTCTCTCACGAGAGGCGGTCATGTGACCACAGTTTGAACCGACTGATAAAAAGGAGATCCCCATCTTTAACCAACAACCACCGGTGTGTTCAGCTGTGTCTGCCGCAGGAGGCTCCTCTCAGTCCGGTCAGTGATGGCTCGCTCAGCCGTGGTTTTAGTCCTGGTGTCGGTCGTGTTGTCCGGGGTGTCTGCCGGCGTGTTTTTCAACCAGAAAGAGCCGTGTTATGTTCATATACCGAGGAATAACCACTTCGGTCTGAGGTGAGTCTGGCCGAAACAGAAATCAAGACCTACCTAAAGGTTATAAAGTAATCTTTTTTATAACTATTAAATAGTTTACTTTCAGCTAACTAGCTAGCTGTTCACTTTAGCCGGTAGTTCTCTCAGCAGAAAATCTTTTAGCTATGCCAATTGTTTTAATTACAGTGTTGTAAATTAATACCTGCAACTCAGATAAAACGAGTCACATGAACAAACATTGGGTAGCAGGTGTCCAGTTTCCTTTTCTTTCTGCTTTTATTTTATTTTATTTTATTTTTTTTTTACCAGTGAGGTTTGAACAAATAGACATAACAGCAGTTTTTTTTTTTTTTTTTTTTTTTGTACGTGTGTCAGCATTAAATAAATGAAAAGAAGAAGAAGAAAAAAATCACAAGGTCTGGGTTAATTATAAATAGGAAGTTCCCTGCAGCAGACTGATTTTTGATAATAACAGTCTGTAAATGCTGCTGATGGAGAGATTTCTGACTCAGTGAACAAGTAGAAGAAAACCAATCAAAAACAAAACATTTTTTTTATTACATTTCACAAGTATTTTTACACAAAACGTACCCTTTGTGACTTCTTTGTTGTGTTGAAGTAGCAGCTCGTTTATGTCTATTACAGGATAATTAATTACCCATCTTGTGTTATTGGTGTGTTTCTATGTCTTATAAAAGAGTTAAGGTTTATTTCCTTTGAATGGGCATAAGTTTATGATTAATCAGTTGACTAATTGCTGTAGAACAAACACCAACATGTACATTTAATAAGTTTCTCCCTGTAGCTTTAAAAAAATAACATTGCAAGAATAAATTAAAAAACTGAAATACTACAAGCTAGCTGAAATAAAAAATTTAATTATTTTTGTCWTTTCTTACCAATAGATTCATGCCAACACTTGATTAGGTTCTCTGACATTTAGTAGTTTAAAATAATACAGAACTTTTTTATTAATATTATAATTATTATTATTATTAATGCAACTGTACCAGACACTGAAGCTTGTTGAACATTACATCAAAATTTGCATTTGCAAAAATGACACTAATTTGCTAGGTAGACATTTGCATGGTCTGTGTTTTTGTTACCTTTTAGGATCGTTTCTGGTGTGGCAAAAAATGTATCTGTTTAATTAAATGATAACTCTTTATTATTATTAACATAATCTTTAATAATTGTTTGTATTAAGGATTAAATCCTGAAATTACATTCTGACCTGACCTTAAAATATTGTAATGACTTTATGAAGACAACAGAAAGATAGATTTGTTTACAGATGTCCCTGAGACTCCCTGACCCAGTTCAAGGTCTAATGTTGCAAGCTGGGGCTCTTATGATTATAAAAATGGGAGACCATAGATGCAAAACACATGAAAGCACAATATTGTCGTTTTATTCAACCATAAATCTAAAAGAAACAGTTATTCGGCATTAAAGAGTAGATGTAAGCTGTGTCACTGATGGTGTTTTTGTTGCAAAACTACAACAAGTAGCGACTCGTTTGTTTACAGGACCGCTCCTCGACCTCATGAGTACCTAAATGTTTCTGATCTGCCCAAGTCGTGGGACTGGAGGAACATCAACGGAACCAACTACGTCAGCACGACACGCAACCAGCACATTCCCCAGTACTGTGGCTCCTGCTGGGCCCATGGCAGCACCAGCGCCATGGCAGGTATGGCTCAGCGTATCTTTGTTCTCCTGCACTGTAGAGCAGGGGTTCTCAAGCCTCTTGGGTTTGGGGACTCCTTACAAGGGCGAAAAAAATCCCAGGGACACCCTCACAAACCAAATGCTGTTTTAAAAGATAATTTATTGTCATTTCGACCCCTAAATGCCATGAAAATATATATAATTATTAAGTTTATTATGTTTGTTTTATTAGTTCATTGTTCTCCATACATTTTTAAAAATAAAAAACAAATTAACATTTTAGTAAAAATGTTTGAGGACCTCCAAGATACCTCTCGTGGACCTCTGGGGGACCAGGGACCCCAGTTTGAGAACCTCTGCTGTAGAACATGCCAAGTCGCTGTGGTCTTGATCACAAGGCTGCAGCATATTTATGCCCAGATGTGTTGGTTTCAGTTCCTGTTCTTATGCAGAGGACTCTGTTTCCTCCTTCCAGATCGTATCAACATTAAGCGTAATGGGGCGTGGCCTTCAGCCTACCTCTCTGTTCAGCACGTGATCGACTGCGCTGACGCTGGCACCTGCCACGGTGGGGATCACAGCGGTGTTTGGGAGTACGCCAACCAGCACGGCATCCCAGATGAGACCTGCAACAACTATCAGGCCATAGACCAGAGTAAGTGTCCCTCCAGGCACAGAGTAACAGCTGCAAACACGTTCACTTTGTGAACCTGATGTGTGTGTGTCCTTGTGTGTATCTAGAGTGTAAGCCCTTCAATCAGTGTGGCACCTGCACCACTTTTGGACAGTGCAACATTGTCACGAACTTCACTCTGTGGAAGGTGGGAGATTACGGAGCCGTCAGCGGCAGAGAAAAGATGATGGCGGAAATTTACGCCAACGGACCCATCAGGTTTGTAACAGTTCGTTGTGATGAAATGAATAGTTTGGTTGTAATCACACAGCAGATTCTACTTCATTATGTTTGCTTTACTTTGTATTTTACACATAAATCATCACCAAGAACCCAGATCCGCCCAGCCAACATGAGCCAGAGTCACATGAACAGAAACTCAAACTGTGACGTTTCCCCTTAAATTGAGGTTAAGAATTGACAAAAAGTTTAGTATGTGCAAAGACCTCGATAAAAAGTTGTTTGACCAATATTTTTATTTAGAAATACATTTTAACCTAAAGTTGTAGTTGAGTCTTTTTTAATGGCAAATTTGGACACTTTCTTACCTGCAGTCTGTTAAAAAAATAAATAAAAAYGTGTGATTTGTTTCCATTTAATTGGCTACAGCAGACATGTGCAACTTAAATGATGGAAGGGGCCACAATTTTTTGTTGACACTACCAGAGAGCCACATAACGCTACCCAAATGTATTAAAACTACCATTATTAAACAAATGTACTGTGCAGTGATTTAAAATATTTCATGCTTAAATGCATGTACAACAGTCGTACTCTTGTTTAATAAATATGAATACAAAAGGTTTGAAGCAAACAAAAACAAACACGTACTTTAGCAAGCTGAAGTGCAACAACATAAGACGACTTGAGTGCAGAGTCCTGCTTGTTTGTGGTAAAAGGTTGTTTATGTATTTGTGGCTTCAGTAAACTCATATTTAGCTTTGTGCAACGTGTTGTAGTGGAGACTAATATTAAAGTCCTTCATGACAGAGCATCTCTTAGCAGACTAAACACAGGTTTGCCTTGAAATTCTGTGAGCAGATAGTCTACCTCCCATTTCACCTGAAACAGGTGATTTGTATCTGTTGTTTTCTCTCCTCAGTTCTTAGCCATGGTTTAACCTCACTGGTAAAGAAGATGTGTGTGAGGCGTACAACCAAAGCAGTGCCTCTGACACACTTTTATACATTTTTGTAATTTTCAAAAAATAATTGAAGAACTGCTTTGAAT